GGAACCGAGGGGTTCAGTGGGTATGCCTCCGCTATGGAGGAGCAGGAGGTTGCCGATTGCAGAAGGGTTCATCGTCCACTTTTCAATCTTCAAATGACAATTCAATCTTCAAGTAACGCGCGATGGTTCTATGTCCGTTCCAGTCGGCACCCACAGCAGAAGTGTTCTTCTGCCGTGCCTCGGCTAGTAAGGTGTTGACCCGTCGAACGCCGACAGACGGCGGAGGCGTCACTTTCCGTAGTAAACTCAACTGCCGCAGAAACAGTCGGAGAAACACTTTTCTCGACGACAAAGTCCAAGCAACTCGATCCGTCTTCACTTCACGACTATATTCGTAACAACTGTCAAAACGCCTTATATAAAGATGGTGCCTCGACCCCTCTCAAGCCAGGTGCTCTGCTCTGATTGGTCGTTACTTAAATTACGATAATAATGTTATTTAGTCTAGGAAAAACGTAACTTAAAAAGTAAAATCAAATTAAAACTTATTAGAAGCTTTTACAATATCAATAAACATTAAACTTTGCACACTATGCGTTAAACAGTAATTTAGTTGACAATGGCTACTAAATAACTTCCTACTTTAAATATAATCACAATGACTTCCTCCGACATGGTGGTGTGATGCCAATATAAGATCCCGCACCCTCATTTTCGGGCCACACTCGCCACCGAACACTGAAGCCAGCGGAAGCTCTGCCCGTTTGACTAGCCAAAATAATTAATAATTTTAACTCTGATAGTTGAACAAGTTGATGTTATATTTCGAAATCATTTAAGTGTTAATTTAATTCAATCAATTTTGTTAGTTTTCTTATTAATTCAAAAAGTACTGTAGTAGTGTATAAGAGATTGTTTTTTTTTTAATTTTCCCTGCTTCTGATCCTTAAGATCAGTAGTGGAATAGTGAAACTCCCACGTCCTTGTTTGTACATCCTGATACGATGTGTTTCCATTGTTATTTCTTTAATTGGCTAGTCATACGACCAGAAACATATTTTTGGAAATTGTAACTACCCTTGTTTAAAAGGACAAATTAACCCTTTGTTTTCGGTATTTCGTATAATATACGTAAGTAAGACGCGACGTGACGGTGTGATCAAGTTTTATAATGTCAACTTTGGTGAGTACGTTCCAATTGTTTTCTTCTCCGCTTTAAAATAACAAATAGAAGTTGTATTTGTTAGCTTTTTGTGTAAATTTTAGAATGGCTCAATTTTAATATTTTGTCGTGTCTACCCTATTGATCAATTATTTACCGTAACTTGAATGCCCTGCTTGGAATTACGTCTAAATTTTGGCTTGCATAAAATTATCCGGTGTGAATGCGAAGAAACTTTGTTGTCACGAGAAGTTTTCTTGTTTTGTAACAGTTGATCATCCCGGACACATTCATATCATGAATTTAATGCACGCAAACACGTAGCATCTCATCCAAGGAGGTTTCATATTTTTATGGACCTCTTTACAGTGTTGATGAAAAAGAAGACAATGCAAACGCCATTTAAGTCTAACTACGTGTTACTGCCATGTTTTTTCTATTTCAATTATTTTTAATTTTAAATAATAGCTTGAACATGATTATGTCCAGGAATTGTGTGCACGCGATTAGCATGAAAAATGCAAAATTCAGTACATATATTAGTTTTATGTAATTTAATTAATTAAATTAGACATTTTTTGAACAACGTAAATAATATGTATTTTTTAATTATGTTTAATTTTCAATTATTTCTCTGGTTATTTCCAGATCCAATTTTATGACTATTTGCTAAACATTTTCTTAATTAATAAAATACGTAAATAATTGCTCCATTTAAATGCTTTAATGGATTTAAATATTAATTTAATGCTCAAATTTTAATATGTTTTTTTAAGCAATTACTCAATAACTTGTCAATTTTTTGACTACGTAATATTATACGTAACGCAATAATGATACAACGAAAAACGTATTCTGAGTATCAAAAAATTGTTTATATTTTTAATAATAGCATAATTTAAAAATAATTTGATTTTTTAAGTTAATGATAAATAAGTTGCTATATTTTATTTTTGAAATACAAATTTAAGGTGCCCTAAATAAAATTAATGATCTGTCACAAATTTCACTGCCATAAATCTACCAAATGTGTAAAATTTACAAGTCTTTTTCAGTAGCTTTCTTTTATATTGAAAGCCTAAATCAAAGAGTATATGGTCTACCTACACGAAATGTCACCATGTGTAAAATTTACAAGTCTTTCAGTAGCTCAGTTTATTATGACAGCTTGTCAATTGTCAATGTCGTGTATATCAAAAAGAATTTTTTTCAAAACTTCTGTGAATCACCGGCTGTTCAAATAAATTTGATTAACAGTGGAAAAAAGTATCTTGTGAATTAAAATAACTAAAATACTTCATTAGAACGTAAAAAATGGTTCTTGTTATAACTCAGGAAACTTACGATGAAGTTGTAAAGGAGAATATGGATGAATTTGATATTAGCCCCGAGGAGGCTATTAAAGAAGCAATTGCTCAATTTGAAGCACAGGTAAAATAAATTCCCAAATAAAAATAACACTAAAATTCATGAAATATTCATTGTTTTAAATTATAATTAATAGAATTAAAGTTCTAAATACATAGTTCTAGTATACATAGTTCTGCTGAATAAAGGAACAAAATAATAAAACCCACTATTCCTAATAGATACAATTTATTTTACAGGGTGTGGATTTATCTAATATTATCAAGGATCTAAATTTAAACACTGGTGAAGAACATCAAGTGAGTTTAACTGTTAAAAAACTCAAGGAGTTGTCAAATGCAGCCCAAAACAATGATGAACCAATCTTGTAACAATTGGATATATTGATGGTAACTATTTTCTATTGATAATTTTTTCTTAATTTTTAAGAATTAGCAGATTTTTTGATTATTTACTAATATTACTTGCACCATTCAAAGTAACCTCTAGTATTAGAATTCTCGACCACATGATTGGAAATCTGTACTTGTAATCATTAGGCTATTGGTGCTTTGCAAAATTGTAAATTACAAACAAAATTGCTCTCTGGTCTCAGTATTAAAGAAATTTTTGTAAATTAATAGTATAAAGTTACATAAAATACCTCTTTTCATATAAGGAAAGGATGGGAAGGGGAAAGTGGATATGGCAAGCCTTCCCATACCAATGAGGAATAGACATCTTATTGTGAGTCCCTCCTCTGTCCATTAACTGTAGACCATTGCCTAAATGCATTCATCTGTTACTTTTTAACTTGTAGCAGATGCCCATGGGCAATAATAACTCCAATTTTTTTTATAACAGAAGGGGGCTAACAAGCAGCGATTTTAGCGAAATAAGGTGTGATTTTGTGTTTGACATCATACACTTAAAAAATGTACAAAGATTTTTCAATTTTCAGAGAGAATGCAACAAATATATTGCTCATAGAGTAAGAGCAGGCAAAGAGGGTATTTATCCTGCGCTTATAAATTTACTAGATTTAAAATGGAAATCTTACTTGAATGTTAATAATGAAAAAGATGCTGTTTTTTAAATTACTTTAAATGTCACTGAGAGAAAAAAACTGGCACAATCTAACTAATATTATAAATGAGAATTTATGGATGGATGTTTGTACTCTGAAGTACTGAAGATATCTTCAGAACGGCTGCATGGATTTCGCTGAAATTTGGCATACATGTAGAACATAGTCTGGAAGAACACATAGGCTTCGATTTATTTTTTAAATCCGTGAAGCCGATGTCATAGGCTACAAAGTCAGTTTCTTAATATATGTTAAAGGTCTAAGTGAACAATTATCAACTCGGTAATAATAAATTGTGTATTTCAGTTTATTAGCGAATGCCTACAAGTTATCAGAAAGTTGACCTTAGACGACGACGTGCGCGTGGAGTTTGGCAAAGCTCACGAACATGCTCGTGAACTTGGCGCGGAGCTTCTCGATACGTTGACAAGGCTGCTTGAAAGTAAGATTATTTTACAATATCTTAGATTAATTATTTTAGAAAACGAGCAAATGGCCAACTGATTTCTGGAAAGTGATCTCTGCCCATAGACATTTTGAATAAGTTAAAAGGTTACAGATGGGTTGGGATGGTTTAATAGACCGATGAGACATTAATTTACCTATCCCACCATTTCTTATTTGGAAAATGGGATAAAGAAGAAGACAAATAGAATTTGTCCTCCCGCACACATACTTATCATACGAAACCCATAAATACTATTCACTTGAGGGTTGCCTTGTGTGTGGTATCCTTCTCCAAACCGCCTAATCCTCTTCTTCCATTCTCCTCATTTGTCCTTCCCATCCTTAGAACAAAAGGATGGAAAAGAAGAGTAAAATTAGGCCTCCGGAATGCATTCAGCAGACTATACAGAGAATTGCTTCCACTTGAAACTTGTCTGTGGTCGTGGTTGATGTTGGTGATGTATGCCCTTGTTGAAATAAAGTATTAGATTCCTCTTGTGCTCGTAATTTCTAGAATATTCCATGTTCTAGTGAAGTATATTTGTGTTAGATAACATGAAGCCACCGTTGGTAAGTGATGTGATGTGTACAATCGCGTGCCTGCTGGTGCGACACGAGCTGTGCGCGGTGGCGGCGGAGCGCGGCGCTGCTGCTCTCTTCACTGTGCTGGCTGACAACTACGATGACGTCACCGTTGTACATCAAGCCACTAAGCTGTGAGTATATACTTGAATCGAACTCGCGATCGGCTACATCTTACTTGGGAATCTAACATTAAACGTGATGTCTTAGTCACTTCGGAATCACCGATTAGAACTGACTTGAGAGGTGTAGAGTTACAAAATTTAAAACATACTGTGGAAGAACGTATAGGCTATCAATTAAGTCTTTTTCAATAGAATTCGCGAGTGACAACTTATGTTGATTATATTGCAGGTTTGGCACGTGAGTAATCAGCGACAGCTACGGTTCCTAAAACACCACAAGACGAAGGTGCCGGTTCTCCCCGGTGCCGGAGCGGCTGACGCGCAGCGCCACCCACTCGCCCAGCCCCGCCCACTAACGACGACGTCCCGCCCCTCGTGCTCATCACCATGGCAGCGGAGATCGTCTGGTGGAACATTACATACATCATGAAGACCAGGATTAATAAAAACTTTTGGAGGTATTTTCCTACGTTTTGACATGAAACTGTAATGTAAATATTTTTGCTTGCACTTTCTCGAACTCGGAGCAGATTTTACTTTTCAAATTAATTTAGTTTGTGGAACAATAAAGATTTTTGATAAAAAAAAAATAATGGTAAAATATTAACGGGTCATTGAACAAGTTAATGAAAATTCATTATGGAAAATCTCCACTAAGCAAATATTTAAATCACCAGTAAGTAAATTTTCCTACGGCAGTAAGATTTTATTATTTTTATTGTTTAGGAATCGCTGGAATGCAGTAACGCCTATCGCAAGTCCAGTAGACACGGTGAATCTTACCACAGCGATGGACAACTTGCATATTGAAAGTGCACACAATAACTTCTTCTTTGGCTCCGGATTGATGAATGCACAGGAGTGCTGGAAATGCTTTTGGAAAGGGAAAACGTAAGTATTTGAAAATGTTAATGACAAAAAAAATAATTTACATTATCATCCCAATATATTATAGTTTATTTTAGTTTGGTGTTGCTATATAATAACTATATTGGTACAATAATCTAAATTATAATGATAGCAATACCAAACTAAAATAAACTATATTGGGTATTAGATGATTCACTGTCCAAAATGTGGCTTAAATAATTTTTAAGTTGTAATAACCTATTATTATATGTAGTCATTTATCTTTTCCTACATTTTTAATTTTACGTTATATTATTTTTTTTTAGTTGCAAAGAAGGTTCAAAGAAGAAAGAAATTTTGGCTTGCATAAAATTACCCGGTGTGAATGCGAAGAAACTTGGTTATTTCCAGATCCAATTTTACGACTATTTGCTAAACATTTTCTTAATTAATAAAATACGTAAATAATTGCTCCATTTAAATGCTTTAATGGATTTAAATATTAATTTAATACTCAAATTTTAATATGTTTTTTTAAGCAATTACTCAATAACTTGTCAATTTTTTGACTACGTAACGCAATAATGATACAACGAAAAACGTATTCTAAGTATCAAAAAATTGTTTATATTTTTAATAATAGCATAATTTAAAAATAATTTGACTAATTAGATACACAAACGGAAAATAAAAATTGACATTTTCAATGCTAGCAATATTATGAACATGAACAAGTCTACGTTGCTACCAACCTAAAAAAAATCAATCTGTCAGTTTCCTTTTTGACATTTGAAAGTATTATTCGAGGGAAAACAATTTTGGAAAAATAAAACAATTTCGTTAATTGCAACTTTATTTAATCTTCTGACTAAAGCGAACAGATTTTAAGAATGCAACATAATGCTCATTGTTTTCGTAATAATACCATTATTGTTTAGTTCACTAACAAAATACCCCAACTTTGATAAATGCTCATTTGTTCCAGTTTGTTTATTTGATAGCTCATATTTTCTGATAGAACTGGAGTAGTAGTGCCACTCTCGTCGGGAGAAATAGAATAACACTGGAAAGAGATTAGCTCCTATCTGTTGGTAAAATATTTAGAAAATTGCTAACAAGACAATATGCATTGAAGCAAAACAAATCGTCATCATCAAGCTCCACTATACGGACACACTATATTCCACTGAGGAGCTCTGAGCCTACCCTCAAGAATGCGACTAGATTTTATTCAACAACGCAGAGCCAGTGAGGGTTGGTTGACTTCACACATATCTTTGCATTTCTATGCAGTTGTATACAATTTGTAATTACAGTAAGAATGTCGGGTGGATGTTATCATGAAATTCAAAGAACGCATTACTATATAGCGGAGATCGTACCTGGATATGTAAAATATGATCAGGTCAAGCGCAAACTGCACTGCCGACGCTCCAAATAGTCCCCTAATCCAAACTTTTCCTATCAAAACATTGCAAATGTACAAGTCATGTTAAATATAATGTAATGTAAAAATAGAATACAATATTTAAGTTTTACTTCTCAAATAAATTCATAAAATTATCATGAACCTAAAGATTCCGCATTTTAACTCTTTTGTTATTACTATTCTCCATAGATGTGTAACCTATAGATTCCTTAACGAGGAAAAATAATAAGCTTAGGAGGCATCATTTTGGGGTAAAGTTCCTGTGTTGAAATTTAAATTACTTATAAGAAAATTGTACAATCTCTGTTTAATTTTTTAATTCTTATTTCAAAAAAAGTTTAAGATATAAGTTGTGATATTAGTAAAATCCAAATTTAATAAATTAATTTTGTTTCATATTTTTCACTAAATGGTATTTTTTTATCTTTTGTACTTGATACTTTATTCCCTATATTTTATTTATTTATTTATTAACTCTTAATGCTATCATAATACATAAAAAAAGACAATTAACTAATTTACAAAGCATTTTAGTATATTTTTATTTTCTATACACTGCATTTCCCAATTTCGACAAAAACTTATGCTAGTGTATATTTTATATTAAAGTCTAATACATATTTCTAAAAATTGTCATATTATTAATATCAAACTAATATAAAACAATAAATCTATAGTTTACACATCTATATATCAATATTGACATTAACATAGTTACTAGCATTTCCTGTAACATGGTGGCTCTTTTTTAGATTTGCGGTTAAACTAACTCATATAATAAGTTATTTTTCAAAATTTAGTTTAGAATTAAAATATTTCAAACAATCAAACTTTGTAGCAAAGATGTTGCAGTGAGATGCAGCCAGTACTGCTGAAGCAGATTCCTTCTTTTAATATTTATATAGAATTCGAAGAGGTGCATTCATTCATCTGCAACAGAATGAAATTGTAATTAATTGATTCAAGTAAGTAATCAATTTAATTATTGCTTTTCACCTAATTACATACCTTATTAAAAAAAAACTGTTTTTTTTTTATTATATGGATCTCTCCCCATTTACTTAAAAACTTCTTTGCAATTCTCTACAACGATGGAACTCACAAACCATGTAAAAAATTATGATTAGTTTTTACAGGTACAAATAGGAACTTTTATTGCCTGCCCATTTTTGTGAAATGTTTATGATAGAATCATAAATCAAATTAGTTTGAAAAACTTGTCATGACATGACCAATTTACAGTTTGATCTACAATATTTGAAACAATAATAGAGAGATATTCTACACACAACCTAAATAATGTTTAAGTTAAGTTTTATTATTGAATCTTTTTCATGTTTTGTGCAAACCATTTTATACTAAATATCAAGCCAATTTAAATGGTTAAAATTGTTCAATTGCTGGTGCTTTGGGAATTACTTAATATTTACCATTTACCTTGAAGAATTTGGCATGTTTGTACAGTCAGCGTCATATAGATCGTCACAGACAAGATATGCAAATATATAGGTACATCAAAAGTATCCAATTATATCGGTACAACAAAAGTCCTCAAAATAATAGATACATCCACCCTGCTCAAATACATCGGTACATACACAGCGTCAAATATATGAGTACATGCAAGATGCTCATAAATATCGTAGCAGCCACAGCGTCATAAGTAACGAAGCAGTCATGGTGCGCAAAAATATCGGTACATTTGACAAAATTGAACTCTATCTCTATATACTTGTAGTACAATTTGGAATAAACTACTTCTGTTACATTCATTTGACACTTTGTATTAACATTATAGGTTGTCCGGAAAGTTCGTTCTGATTTTCGATATAAAGCTTACAATAGACTGTAGCTGAAGTGGATTCATTTTCGGATTTCCACCATTATCAAACGTCACAAAAATTTCTATATTGTGAATAATTTCATTTCATTGGTTGAGATAAAACCTAATTTTTAAAATTTTATCCAATAATAAAAGACGTTTTAGGTATAGAGTCGTACCAATATAATTTAAAAACATTTCCAAAAATTTAAGAGAACAGGGTTTCAATTTTCCTTATAAAGCGGCACGAACTTACTGGGCAACCCAATATTTTTCTTCTCCTGTCATAACGTTTAAATATAAAAGTTTGTCACGCCGAATATGACAGATACTTATTAACTAATATCAAATTTTGTCTTGTCATAATATATATAATATTAGTTTGGCGCAGTATTCTAGTATGTTTGCCGTAATATGTAAGTTTACCGGTTCGAATCTCAGGCTACTTTTTTTTCATTTTATCAATCACGGGGTTATTTTTTCATAACCAGTAAAAATTGGGGAATGTAAAATTTAGCTCGACAATTTTTTTTTATAATTTTCGCTGTTGGGTAGAAAGAAATTTAAATAAAGTTAACAACAATTATGTCAGACCATCGCGGGTGAAGTGAGTGGGCGGAGCGTGGATTGTCTTTGCGGGTTTTAAGTATGGTACGCGCGGAAACTATACGTACAAGTGTTATCTACATATGTGTGCGCGCCCACGCACACTAGAATGTTTATTGCAATCGACCAAAAATTTGATGTAGTTTGGATATTGACATTCAGTTTTTTTTCTTTGTTTCTTAAATATAATCAGTATCAGTAAAAGGTAAAAGTAAAAGTGTTATTTTTACCAGTACAAATTTAACAAACATGAGTAATAAACAAATTACATGCCAATAGCATCGCTTTATCTCCTTCATTTTTGTTTGAAATAGAAAAGTACTTTAACGGTCAAACTCATTAGTCCAAGGCAATATCAAA